AACATGTTGCGTTAATAATAAAATAGATCTGAGTGTTAAGATTATAAGGAACCCAATAAATCATGAAACACAGACAGCAACACATGTACACTGTAAATGTGCCTCGGGGATATAGCCAGAGATACACATGACAATGTCCTGACTATGCCAAATACTGTAGATATAAAGGTTATATGAGTATGTAATGTTTATGGGTAGAGTATACCTGGAATTGTTATGGAAATACATGTAAAGGCAAAAAAATTCCCCAAAAAGGAACACTAAATGTTAAAAATGATATATAGTTATAGTTATTATATATTTTATATTTATTACAAGCATTTTTAACGTTAATGTGTTCCTGTTGATTTTTAGATTACTGCTCTACCCCCTTACTTTAAAAAAAAAAAAAAAAAGTAAAACATTTCTCTAAAATGTACCTAGTCAGACATTTATCCCTGTGACCTGTGATTCAGCGTTGAGACAATATCCTTGGTGTAGCCTCTCCATCTCGGTAATCGGTAATGATGGCTGCTGTCCAATTCAATGCATTGCATATAGAACTATTAGAAAAATAGGGCACGCTCTTCCTATCAAATCCTTCTCATAGACATATTAGATACAATCAGCGAAGATCTTAATGGGGAAGAACCACCAGTGGTTATGGGTCTGATAGAAACTCAAGGAGTGGTATTGAACTAATTACCATTTCTCAGATTTTCATTTGCATGAGTAAGAGGGACATCACTGCACCAAAACCACTTCATTAAGATACAGCTCCTCTGTATGCCTCTTTATCTCCACCTGCCCTTCTGTGTGTCTTATTGTCTCCATCAGCCTTCTGTGTGTCTCTTTGTATCCCTAGCTCCACTTTCTGTATCTTTGTTCCCCCAGCCCTTCTGAGTGGCAACTTGTCCCACTGGATACTCTTTGTGTCTCGTTGGCCCCTGAGCCTCTCTGTATATCTCTTGTGGCCATCCTTCTAGCACCTGTGTATCTCTTTGTCCCCAGCCCTTTAGTGTGTCTCTTTGCCCATCTCCCCAGCCCCTTTGTGGGTCTCTTTGTCCCCCACTCTTGTTTGTGTCTCCTTGTCTATCAGATCCTCTATGTGTCTCTTTGTCCATCCCCTCAGATCCTCTATGTGTCTCTTTGTCCCCTGAGACCCTCTGTGTCTCTTTGTCCCCAGCTAATTTCTGTACCTCTCTGCCCTCTCAGACCCTCTGTGTGTCCCTCTGATCTCCGAGACCCACTGTGTGTCTCATCTTCCCAGCCCCACTGTGTGTTGCTTTGTGACTCCTCCAGATGTCTGTGTGCCTCTACATACCCCCAGCCATCCCTAGTGCCACTTTGTCCATCAGCCCCTCTATGTGTCACTTCATTTCCCCAGCCCTTCTGTGTGTCTCTTTGTCCATTCCCCTAGCCACTCTGTTCCTTTTTGTCCCCCAGCCATTCTGTGTGTATCTTTGTCCCCCTCAGACCCTCACTGTGCCTCTTTGTCCTTGTCAGACCCTCTGTGTCTCTTTGTCCTCCCAATTCCTCTTTGTGTTTCTTTGTCCATTCGACACCACCCATCCCTTTGTGGTCTCCCTCCCCCCCACCTATTTAGCTTCCTGGCTGAGCAGATTGTGGTAGAGGATCTTATGCTTTCTTCCATTGATTTCAGTGAGCAGCTGCCTGTCAGACTGGGTAGAGGATACAGGAGATCCTCTTCTGCAGTACACTCACCCACGATATATGTAGTGACCAGAGGCTGCCTCATTTGCCTAGCGGTAGCGCCGGCCCTGCACATCCGTTTGAGAACCATTGAGATCAAATCTTCAAGACCCACAAATAATTGTGGGGTTTTATATACATGAGAATTCTGTACATTTCTGTTAGCTTGTGAATGTTTTTAAGAAAATAGGTGAAATAACGTATCACATTTTTTAGACTTCTTTTTAGTCAAGACTCAATCATAAAACAATAACTTCAGTTTACGTGTACAAATAAATAGTATCAAGATTCACAGTATTTACATATATAGGCAGGTCATAGTATAGCACATGAATTGGCCAAATTACTGTGTGTCCACAAAAATTGTCCTGTGGAGAAAGATGTGTCACATCCTCTGAAATTAGGCATCTACCCTATTGAGTGTCCTTTTAATTGTTGTAAATTGATCACAGCGGAATCTGTTTTATGGAGGCTGTTTAGTGGAGGCCTGCAAAGCTAGGGCTATGTGATCTGTCAGTACTGTAGTGTTAGGATGGTGGCCGGCCAGTAACATTCTATTTTTTTGTCAATGGCTCATCTATTAAGTGCCTGATTGAAAACAACATCTTCATGGCCAGCAGCAAAATTGCCCTGTTCCATGAAACCAACAGCAAAGGCTATGCAGAAAAGAAGCTACATCTTCATCTACCAAATGGTTAAATAACTAATCAACAACATATCCTTCAATTAGTGATACCCGGGGAAATAGAGTTTGACAGAATTCTTGTTCCCAAGGTACTCTGTTTTCCAGTGACTCACTGATAGACGCTCCAAACAAATAAATCTGTACCAGCTGGATCATCAAAAGCACTATTAGAAAACATGAAGCTTCAGTAGATACCTAAACCATAACAGATTGAAGTTCTCATATTTAAAAGAAGAAGGTTTGGAGTAGTTTGCCACATTTTTGGTTTTAATCAAAAAGTTCCAGGGTCACATTGACCACTACTTTCGGTTTCAGGATGTTGGTTCCAAGCCTACATAATGAACGTGCTCAATGGTTAATGGCACACAGGTTTCTGACATACCCAACTACCTTGGCATTCTCTCAGGGTCCAGGTTATGTAAATGGTAAACCTGGCCTTTGATGTCTCCAGGAAGCACACATTTTAGAGAATATTACTTCCACTTCTATTTTTATAGCTCACCTAATATCCTTTGGATGTGTTAAATCGTGGAAGTAACTTCCAAAGTAAAGATCCGTTCTATGCCTATAGTGATATGATTAGTTTGATTTATCATTAGATCTGTGGATAATATCAATATTTAGTGACTGTCCCCAAACCATCAATCATCTCTCTTTCCATCAATCATCTCCATTTTTGGCATGGACAGAACTCTGAATTGCAAAGCGCTTGTCTTTTGCTTGGTTATACGTCTGTATTTCACTTCTAAGATACGGAATTCAGTCAAAGTGCCAATTGTCTAAATTCAGATGAAATGCTTTGCTGACAAAACCAAATGAAATGCACAAGTCTATCAGTCATGATGAATGGGCAGGTTCTGCATGTGAACCGAAAGCTACTCATTGGGTATTATTTGCATGGGGACACACAGAGTGCAAAGATTTAATAGAGATCTGTGGGCTTCAAAGTTCTGTCTATATTATTCAAGTAAAAAAGGGAGTTTGTAACACAGTACTTTCTGTATAAATGATGAAACCCACAAAATATCCACTATGACACTTACTGCAGTTTGAAGTAAGCTGAAATAGATCTCAATGAAAATGTGTCTGTTGATGGGACTTATTCCTGAACTGCCTCGCAACCATCTATCAGTTCTCTAAGTTGTATAAGTTACCGATGCAATTACCAGTGACAGTAAGTAGATCGTTTTGGAAGCTCTGATGTGCAGATTAGGGCCTCTAAATCTTTACTCCACAACCTTCACTCTAACCGTGGGTAGTAGGCACGTCTTCATTTATTAGTTTGTTTCTCTCTGCATACTTTGTTTAGACATTTATCCATACCAACACATTGAAGTACCTTATTTAGGTATTACTGTCATTAATCTTAAGTAAATTGTAATCCACACTCTTAACACTAGGACAAATGACATCTTTTGGAAATGCTCTGGCATCTCTAATTCTCTAAGGCAAATTTACGTTATGGAATTTTCCTTAAAGCTATTGTAAATAAACACGCAACATTCTAAACATAAATGGCTATGTTGCAATATTTAAAATGATGGTAACACCTACCACCTAACTAAGATTTATCCCGAGTGTCAGAATTTAATTTGACTGTGCACTCTATAAACTACCACTCACAGGTTTTGTTTGTTTTCTTTTCAGAGACAACTAAGATTAACCTCCTATGGCTAAGTTTATAGTGTACACAGGTTTAACATTGTTCACATTGTAAATCCTAGACAGGAGATTTTACCACATTACCATTTTGTAACCTAACTCCAGCTTCTACCAAAAGCTAAGAGCCCCACCCAGGCTATCACCTCCAATGTTAGACTTATAACAATGTTTTTATTATTTATGATGATTGCAAGCAATGCAAGTGAGTTGTTACCTTAATGACACAGTGCAAAATATTTGATATATACTTAAAAATAATTGAAGTTCGTCTAATGCTGTAAAACGTTGAGTGAAACAATTAAAGCTCAACTACCTAGAGACAAAAGAGATGAATGTCAAGCCACAGAATCTTCTTGCGCACAGTATACAGCAAAATAATTATACTAAACAAAACAGAACTCCTTTCTCTTTAGATGTCCGATGTGCAATTACTAGTTATCCCTTGCGTTGACTTATTTATTGATGCAATTTTCCAAATCAGGCTGTACCGTTTTATATCATACCAGCATGCAGGTGACATTGATAATAAATTGTGAGTATTTTTAGCCCATTCAATATTTTAGGCCAGTATACGTTTAAGGGCATGAGATATATGAGGTATTTCTCCATTTCAAATTAGTATTTTATTACATTAGTATGAGTAAAAGCTGGAAGTGTTCAGAGTAAACAAAGTAAATTAAATATGGATTATGCATGAAATGCTATTTGGGTTTAATTGGGTTTAACACCGGTGCAATATCTGGAACATTCCTCTGGTTTCCATAGTGACTTCTCCACTTTTAGAATTGTGTGTGTTGCAGTATCAACAAGCAAACTTAAATGTTTCTGTAACAGCCCAAAAGTGGAATCACCCCCCCCTTAATGAAACTGAACCAAATTGTGCAGGTTCTTGTAGACTGTCAAGAAGGGAATTACAATTTTCTCTATGGGGTTTCTGTGCAATTAAAACTGGTTAAAATCCAGAGCACATATCAGGCTCTTCACCCACCAGTTACTATGTTTCTCATGAGTCAATGCAACATTTCCAAATTACGGCATAATGAATGCTCGCTGGAATCTTGTTTAAGGTTAATGTATTAATGTATAATAGGGCACATCGATTGTTGTCTGATGGTAATAAATTCACGGACGCTTTTCCCGCAGCACCGACACCTACAATAGCAATCTTATTTCCCTCTTTGTTTTGTTCTCGCCTTTGGTTCTATTAAAGATTTTTTTTTAAATGCGTTTTATTGTCTTTCGTGGCATAAAATAGATTCTCTAAATGATTTTTAATTGATGGTGCAAGTCGTTGGGATTTTTAAAAATGTTTTATATTAAATGATAAAGCCTTTATTAGACAAGGTTATTCCCTGAGTGAGAATACAAGGAGAATTTAAAGTAAATGTCAAATTTAAGATCAAAATAGCCGTCATAGAAAACATTTCTAAGTCAGCAATGCTTTTAAATTTAAATTTGAAATTCCCTTTAAATTCTCACTTTAGTTAATAACCCCGACAGTGTATAGCTTTGTAGTTTATAATGGTAGATGTTTGAGTCAGTGGAGTCATTCAGCCTAGTTGTTACAATAAATGTTTCAGTGATTGCTGTAGAATGTGGTGTGATGAATCCATTCACATGCAGAAGCAGATAATTCATTATTTTCTCAGCCACGAGCACAATTGGAATATTACATTTATCAAGAAGATCTGAAATAAGGAACCATGTTACAATATTGGAAAAACTCCTACTGGTGCACATAACCTCATATTTCAAGTTTATATATAGATGTGTGTTAAAATGATATATGTGTATATATACATATAAACATATATACATTTAACACATAAGTGGTAAGAAATATATGTATATGGAATAAGGCACAAATGTGATTCTTTGTTAAACTAATTTGCATATTCCCACCCAGAATCCTTTGTGGTTGTAACATCACTGCAAATTTGTGATTTCTGTGGGAAAAGCAAGTGACAAGTCTTATGGCTTGACTGGTGTGCAGATTTTTGTTTAACATTGTATTGACTATATATATATAAAATATAGAAAACCCCTGCACTCCAACTATATAACAAAACAAAAGATACCTGGTGCTCTGGTGGCTGGACCATAAGAGAAGGAAAAATCTTCATTTATTCCATGTTTAAATGTTAATTTATTAAATCTTCGCAATAAATGAAGATTTAAACATATGGAAATCCTTGAGTGCCGTTTTTTTCCTTCTCATATATATATATATATATATCTGTATTGTTTTTGGATAAAATGAAATAGGCACTTTACTCAATATTGACAATTGTTCTTCTATGAAATAAACAGAGCAGTGTTGGTCAACATCAATTGAAAAAGTGAATTAAAAAAAAAACACCAACAGGCTAGTTATAGCCTGAGTTTTCAGGAATTCACTCCCTTTGACAAATTACTCAAAACATACCTAATATGGGTAGTTACATCCAGAGCGAATGCATTATTTTTATTACCGTTATGTATATATATATATCGCTAACAAATTCCGCAGGGCTTTACAATATTACGAATGAGGCAATTTAACAGCAAATGAAACAAACCATTACACATTTTGACAGGAACAATAGGTTGTTGAGGAATCTGCTCAAAAAAGCTTACCATCTAGAATGCATGATTTGTTAGCTATCTAAAAAAATTATTGGGGTCATGTGGTAGCCCTGCCCCCAGTGAAATAAAATTACAGAATCTTAAGGTTCCTGGGTAACCAGGTGGGTCAAGTAGTTTCTCTTCTCAGGCTAAGGGCTCAGTGAAGGATGGAAAGTACATAGATGTGAGGTTTTTACTAAATTGTAGTGAATTAAAGACCAAATTCACTACAATTTAGTAAATAATAGAACTGTGACCATAGGAGATATGGAGAAATTACACACTTAATCTATTTCAATTCACTATACTCCTTGTTTAATGGGTAAACCCATACAAGTTTTTTTTTTGTTTTTTTTTTTACTAATGTGAGAATTGCAGTGAATTCAAAATAAATTCAAATTAAATTTCCCCTTTAAATCCAAAATAGCTGAGAAAACATATTTTAAGTCTACTATGCTTGCAGTTTGGTCTTAATGTGAATTTCACTTAACCTGGTATGTGTTAAAAAAAACAAAAAAAAACATATGTATATAGTAATCTGTGTTGTCCCCAAAAGTTCATGGAATCTCAATTGTCTGCCCAATTTGTGTACAAAATAAAAAAAAAATATTAAAAATATTAACTATAAAAAAAGATATCTGTAAGACCATCTATAAGGACATCGGTGCCATTTGACTTGAAAACCCTGCTTTTAACAACTCTGCTTGACTAGTGGTTAGTAAAAACTGAAGTGCTAAATGTCCATTTAACTTCTGTTGTTTATGTGAAGTGCCAAATTGTCAATTTAAACACTTTCTAAAATACGATTTAGCCGATTAGTCATTCATCCTATTAAAATAATCCAGTATTGCTTTGTAAAAAAACAAAACAAAACATAAATTAAAACAAAACACTAATTATGTATATCCAGAGTTACATCTGTACTGCAAACAGAATTTCAGAGAAAATAGGTACAATTGCATAATCCCACAATAAATGTAATTGTAGTACATAGCATAGAACCACAGATTTATGTTACGAAATGTTTTTTGTGAGCCATTCAGCTATTGGAAGTAACTTGTGTCTAATGTAAAATGGCTTTCAGTCTGGTAACGGAGACTACAATGTCAAGAAAACCCCCGTCCTCTCACACTTTATTGTTTAGGTTGGAGACGTGTTATCTCTGTGAGCTTCAACTGTCTGGGTCTCCATAATTAAATCACCACACTTAGGGGCTACCATAATCAAGAGCAAATTTTGGACACAAACCAATAAAAAAAGCATTTCACCACTTCCGTAAGATAAGAGTTGTTAAGACTGTTAAAGAATAAAGTAACTCTAGATTAAGTGTATCCACAAGGAGTGGGGAGATAAAACCCATAAACCCAACCATATGGACAAAAAAAAGTTCTAAAGATCAATAATTCTTTCTGGTTCATAATTTAAATACAGTATCTCATTGTTCTGTTTTTAAACATTGATTACGTATGTGGTGAGCTTCATAAATACTTCCACTAACTGAACTGCTTCAAACAAACTAGTTCTGATGAAGCATGTACTACATCTCTGACACCTGGCTCACTTCAAGTTCTTCAAAGAACCACACCAGAAGCCATTGGAGGTGTAGCTGATGAGTTACTTTGGTGTGAGTGCAAGTATAATTGATGGCATGCAGAAGCTCTGCTCTGTCTGTTTAATAAACCATATATTATCTTTTAGATTATAAAAAGCTATAATCTTTTAGATTGTAAACTTGTTTCAACAGGGCTCTCTTCCTGTATGTCATGCATGCTTTGTTAGAATTAATTGATTGCCTTGTTTTGCTTATTGTACTGCATTGCAGAATATGTTGACACAACATAAGAAAATTTTACTTTTATAAGAAGAAAACAGATAATGGATTAGGAGATACATAATGCTGGACTTGGAGGAGTTGCTCAAAACTGTGTTCTCTAGGCATAGATCCCTGGTGTAAATCTTAAGGCATGCTCAAATGGTTTTTTGATCCTATGATAGTTGATGAAGACTGGTGGATAAGAAAATGAAAGTTTTAGAGAACTCTAGAAAGCTTGCCCACTGCCTAATATCCATCATAAGCAAATCCATCTTTTCACGCACTGGTTATACTCCACTGTTGGGAACCACCAAATCTTAAAAATAGCCATTAAAAACTTGGGAAAAATTTACTAAAAAGTGCCAACAGGAAATCACATCTGGAAGTGCGTCTATTCGCCATGACATGTTTGATTTGTAAATTCTATTAAAGCTATATTTGCCAAGACAAGCAGATTAAACCAAGGTACCAGTTTAAGATTTTATTTATTTGGTTAGCTATCATTAGTCGAGTTCCCTTCCTGTATGCTATCACATTTTATTTAGTTCAGTCCATGGTTTCTTCTTCCGTTTTTGTCAGAATCCTTCCACCCCCTTGTTATCTTCCAGCCAAGTAAATTATGTCAGTGTACAGTTGGAGAGATTTTCCAAAATAACTGTTTTGGGTTTAATTTTGTGAGTTGGTTGTCAAATTACATGTAAAAGGTGGTAAACTAGACTTGGATTACCCATTAGGTGACCAAGGCAGGACGTCTGCTCAGACAATGGCCCAGTGGCTCCTGTTTGAGCTTTTGCTCTAAACTGGCCCTCCTCGAGATGGCAGGGAGATTTGATCTCCCGGCACGGTACTTTACATCCTTAATCTTCACAGTATTGTTGTCTGTATCAAAATCAGGTACAGACCACTTTAAGTGTGCCTTTGCAGTACTCCGGCACTTGTTGATGACTCAGAGCACCACAGCCAGTGCCCTGAGTCATTGACTGAACACCAGAACTGCATACTCTTACAGCAGTCTTTTACCTGTTATTGCTACAGATGTTGGAGCCCTACCACAAGGCCATAGGGGATCCAACTCACACTCCAATGGACCACCAGGAATACTGCTCACCCTCCACTGGACCACGAGAGAAGGTAACAGGGGGACATGCACACACACAATACTCAGCCACCATACATACAACACTCAACCAGAACATGTACAAATATACCAAGCATATCAGAAACAATTCAGTGGAAAAGGAGAAACAAAGGTAAACAAGTAAAATGAATTTACCCTAATTTAACAGTGATTTGCATGCAAAATAGGACTCCTCCGGGTCATCAACAACAAAGAATACACAATACACAATCGAGATGAACACAAGGAGATGTATTGTTACTCTGTTTACCCTGAGGAAGTTCAGTAATTGAACAAAACGCATAGTTATGTTGTTCAGAGTTTTTTTTTATTTTTGATTTGTTATTTTATACTGTTTTATTCCTGGTGCTACCAGAAGGAACACACTTTTTGTACACCATCTCCAAGGGAGTTTCTACTTCCTATATTATGCTACTTCTTGGTGATGTGCCTATTAATTGATTTTATCATGTAAGTGTAATGTTTATTAAAAGGTTTATTTTGCCATAGAAACGCTGCACCATTATCTTTTTATTTATCTCCTATATGCTGTGACATTGATACGAAGATATTCTTCAACATACTGATAAGCCTTCAATCAATTGGGGTTTGTGAGTGCACCTTTACAGATTTTAATAATACTCTGTATACAGCAA